AACTGGATAGAGCAAGACAGATCACTCTTCATACCAGAAAGGCCAATGGATTTAAGAAGATGGAGCTGGCAAGTGAGCACGAACAATATCAACAAAGAACTGTGCTGGATTAGGAGTAAGGGGGCACCTACTACCACCAACAGTATGGCTGAACACTTCAAAATCAATGCCAGTACTCTTCCAGGAACAACCGAATTCACGAAAACACTCCCAGAGCATAGAAACATAGGAGAAAACTTCTTACTCACATTTGCATGGATCAATAATATCAAAAAATACCAGTGAAATAAAAGGTCAACCATTCCAGTAAAAGTTCATACACTAGAAAGCCTGGCCAAAACCAAGATGGAAAAAATATATCCCCAAAATATACCTACATCTAAACTTCATTCTGTCGAAATTGAAGACTATGGAAAGCAGATCATACATGAAAACATAGCGGCAGGAGACCTTCGCACATTGCTATGTGAGGAATACCGTCAAAATATAAGGCAAAACTACACAGGTGCATATTAATTCTATACAGACGGCTCACTAGAACAGACACAAGACCAGTTTCTAAGAATGGATGCAGCATGGATTCAAACAGAGGGACCAAACCCAGGCAGATCATTCCAGGCAGCAGTGGACAATTGGCCCTCATCTATCAGAGCGGAATTAACAGCAATTCTCTTGGCAACCCTTTCAGTTTCAAACAATAGTACGGTGGAGATAAGAACAGATAGCTCTGCCTGTATAGATATATACTCGCTCATAAACAAACAGCATCCCAAAAATACACTGAAGAAATGAATGAAGAAACCAAACTGGCAGCTTTGGTCAAGACTGATCAGCATTGTTAACAAAAAGGGCCTGCACCTTAAATTAATAAAAGTCAAAGTCCATAGTAAAAATGCCTTCAACAATCAAGTGGATCAACTGGCGAAATCGGTTAAGGAAAAGTTAGAAATTCAATGGAAACCTCTATTGAAAACAATTCCAATTACGGTGCCAGAGTGGAACAGGATTCCCATCGATATCTCAACCAGAGCATTCCTGAAAGACTATAATGAAAGAGAAGTACTAATGCAATGGATATCACAAAACCGGATACAACAAAAGTGGAAAGAAGAAATCCAAAACCCCGAGAAATTCAACTGGAAAGGACTATGGGACTTTAGTAAAGGGGAAGGGTCCTTAACAACATCCATAAAGACAGCAAAAAGTAGAATGTTCAAAGTCAAACTCATTCATAATGAGCTTCCGACCATGGATACCTTAACTAAGAGAGAAGCCCTAGAAACGTCCAATAGCTTGTGTGTATTTTGTCAACTTCAGGAAGAAACCTTAGATCATCTTTTGATATGTAAAAAAGTGCAGGAAATCAAAAAGGACATATGGAGCCAGGTACAAGACAAGCTCATCAAGACATGGATATCTCAACAGATAAATAAAAAGGAAGACGCAAATATCATGGCAATAATTGAACTGATAAACAAATGGGAAGTCGAAAAGTCTGATTCGGCCAAGAAACTAATCAACATAGTCATTGGCCTCTGGACAAAAGAAGATTCAAGAGAATGGACTAATCTACTTCGACCCATGAAGATTTTCAAAATTTCAGCTAGAAGAATTCTCAATAAAATCTCAGACTTTTGGTGTAAGAGAATTAGACAACAAATCTGGAACCCAAGGTGCGAAAAGGTACAAGAATGCAAAAAGCGCTTTTTGGAAAAGGGCAAAGGTAAGGCCAGTTTCTCCTCTAATCAAGACCCAAGCCATCCTCAAAATCCAAAAAGAAAAGAAAAGAAGATCTACCATCAAGGCTCACTAGGATCCAAGCCAGGAGAATCTTCCACAACAAAGACTGGTTCAGACCAAATACCAGGAATTGCAAAGGTGTTATGAAGCAAAATCAAAGAAGGAAAAAAATGGTTAGGAATTTAACGTAATCAAGATGTTGCCAAGGTGAACTGTAGTAATGAACTGCAGGCGATGAACTTGAATTTTCCCAGGAATGGAAAATGAAAAGGAGCAACTTTATTCATCTCCAAAATCATATCTAAAGGTTAATAGCCAAAGACGGGTATTCAAGTATAAGTGATTAGTTTATGCATAAATGTCTATAAACAATTATGTCTTCTTTTATAAGATTAAATAAACACAATAAATACTTGTTTGATTACGGGAAAAAAAAAAAAAAAAAAAAAAAAAATATGTTAAATTATAGCTAAGTTATATATCAAATAATTATATTTTATTTATTATTATTGCTGAATACTATTATATTATAGTCAAACTATTTACAAATATTTATTAAATAATTTTATTAATTTTATACTAAGTGATATCAAATAGTATAAAAATTTGATTTGAATTTAATTATAGAAATCTATATAATTTGGCAATAATTTAACATGCTGAATAACCAAATTTTGACTAGTGATAACAAAACCAATAGAGCCTTTAAATATTAATCTTGACATATATTCTAGAATAAATTAATAACAACAAGCCAATATGAAAGAATTTTGATATATTATAGCTCAACATGCATTTAAAATAATCTATAAATAATAAATTATTCTTGTATAAGAAATACAAATATAAACTAAATAAAGTATGTTAGGCAAGGCCTAACTAATTGAAACAAAAAATTATAAAACTTTTAAAAAGATCAAAATTATAAAAAAAAAAATATTTACAAAGACTATATTTTATATGTATTAAAATAATTAAAATAAAAACAATTTAATAAATTTTCATAAACAAGGTACAATAAATTATAATATTATATATTATTTCTATCTACAGTATATTCTGTGTATTTTTAAAAAATTCAGTAATTTCTATAATAATGCAATTAAAAAAACTAACCTTGATTCAACGAGCAAAACGCGCGATATAAATCAAGTCTTTCACAATCTTCTGTTAATTCTACTACATAAGATACATTGGCACCTACAAAGAAAACACTCCCAGGTCCTAAACGCTCTGATCTATCGTTAACTAGCAAATTACCTTTCCCCTCGGTAACGATAATAATGCT